AAACTAAACTATTCTACAATTCTATGATTCTAGGGGTAACTCATGAACTGTATTTTGATATTGCTGTGTTAGGTGGCTGGAGTAGCTGAAGGGCTAGACTGCTGCCAAACACTGTTTTGATAATGTTGGTCCCCCAAGGGGGTAAATCCAGGTTTAGCATACTTAGTACGAGATTACATGTGCCATGGCTTCCTAATGTGTACGATGCAGTATGGTCTCAAAATGCTTGAACATGCTACAGTTTTTGTGACAACTCCATTGTCAGACTGACTCATTAAAGTATCAAATAGTCTGTGTACTCCTTACCTTTAATCTCATGCTGAATCAAGGATCTCATATACTCTTGAAATCAGACTGAAGTCATAAAATGAATGCAGTTCCACTTGAGATGCTGTGCTTGAATCCATCTGGAATGCAGTTGTGCTCCTACATATAATGTGACTCAAAACTGTGCTGCTGGGTGAGTGACTAGTAGTGGAACAGATCCAGCACTAGGGATTGTGGCGGGGTGTCTGGCAGCCTCTGTGACCTAAGGCGGGGACGGAGAGACAGCCCAGGCTCTTTGTGAACTCTGCCTTGACCCGGCCCTCGTGCTTACTGATGGGATCTCAAAGCAGATGGACAAAATGCAGATCTACCACTCGGTTCTAAATACAAAGCTGCAAGTTTACCAGGTGGGGGTTTTTTTATTATTTCATATGGATTTGTCCATAAATGCCAAAAGAGTTGCCAGAGAGCTCGTAAGGATGTGGATCTGAGAGAACATGAGAGAAGTTAGAGATGAGAAGTGATGCTTCACTTGCCCTTCAGGCTTAATAGACTCTGCAGTAAGCGGCACCAAGTACCCTCAGCTGGCACTGACAAGCACCTCCCACCAGCGCATTTGTACCAACAGCGCTGTCCTTTATCCAGGCGCTCCCTGAGTGCCGGCTTGGAGCACCTTTCCCCCAAAAGCAGGTGCCTGCACACAGCTGTGGCCTTCAGCCCAAATGTGGCAGCTGTGTTTTAATGCAGGAGGAGACACTTTGGATGAATTTGAGTGGAGGAAGGGAAATTTCTCTGCCTTGGCTGACTAATGACTAATGATTCAGTTCACCAAAGACCTGCATTTAATTTTTATCCTGATCAGATTAGAAGAGCCATGAAAATAAAGATAAAGCAGTATCATTTTATACACGGAGCACTCAAAAGTTCTGCCAATGCCACTAAAAGTATATTTTCTATTGCTGGATTGTTCAGCATTAATCCTCTATTTAGTGATTTGCACACCTCTGCACAGAATATACCCCAAACCAGCCTATTTTCTTCAAAAAAAAAGAAGTCAAACTGTCAGTGCACAAGCAGCACTCAAACTACAGCTGCACGATTTACTCTCCAGTACGGTCCTACTGCAGACAGGCACTTTACTTCTCCTGTGCTACTGTCAGGTTGCGATTTTAGCATACCTGATACCATTTTCCTGACAGAGCACAATTTTATAGTGAAGAGCCTGGAGCTAGCATGCATATTATCTTATCTAAAGGCATAATATCAGCAGAATATACAGCATAATTGTAAAAGGTGAGTGGGCCTGCACGTTGAGTAGTTAATGTAGTTATCACTCAGTCACACGGCTTTTCATGTTTGCCAATGCACCTCTCTCACTGAAAGGCTGTGACAAACAATACTGCACCAGTGACTTCCCAAAACAAATACAGAAGTTGCTATCAGCATTTTGATCTGCAAAGAAGCGGGGCCAAAGGAACCAGACTGACTTTGCAGTGTGTCAGTCAAGCCTTACCTGTTAGGCTTTTCCTGACAAAACAGTAGTGGAAGTTACCAGCTCATCAGCTTTTTCCCTGAGAGCTATAAAGTTTGCAGCTGTAAGCAAATTTTATAGCACTTGCAATCCTAACCCCATTGTCAGGAAAAAACTAGCTCCTATACATTTTGCTGTTGCCATAAACCTTGCCAAAAGGCTATGCAAGCACATTTGTGCTTTTAATCTGACTTTTATGTCTTCTTCACCAACTAAAGTCAACTAGGGCAAACTTGGGTCAGCTTATGAAATATTCACAGCATTGTAACACAATTACATGTGTATGCATATACACAGGGACATGTAAAAAGCAGGAATATTCTCACTGCTCTGAGATGAAAACGACTTTATTTCTTTTCCCCTAAGAGTTCTTGCTGCCCAGGGTTAAATGTAGGTCAAGCTGTCTGAGCCCATGTCTGTGGCACACAGAGAGAGTAGGATTAAACTGGAATTTTCCACTCAACTCGACTGTCAATCACTCTAATGTCTGCAAATGTTAAATTAATCTGGAGTGATCTGGTGTTGGCACTGATGAGAGCTCCTGGGGCTCAAGGGTGGCATTTTGGCCTCCATGAGAAAGGTGCCCTCTTTCTCAGGACAAGGGGTGGCTATGTCCTGGCTGCTGGCTCAAAGCCCTGAGACTACCAGCCAAACACAGAAAAACAGCTCTGTATGAGACAGATGTATGTGCATGCTAGAAGTGAGCAGAGGGAAACTACACCTCTCAGGTGGAGGAGGGACTGAGAACAGTGGCGATGGAAAGGGTATTCCTAGCATCGCCATAGGCTGCACCGAGATCTGGCACGTACTTCTCAACGTGTGTTTCCTCATCTTTGAAACAGTTTTAGCGCCTTTCTGCTGCTGTTCTGCAACACACTTCATAGTGGAAACCATTACAAGATACAAAATATTTTACTGCCAGCATTTCCCGGCTTACACGTCAGCCCCTTTATTAGGGACAGCCAGCCTTCAACATGCCCCCCTCTAGCCATGGCAGCACATCCACTGGCATTCCAGTAAAGCTGCCTCCAGCTCAGCATGTGGCGGTTATCATTGGGATGGATCATGCAGTCCTGCCAACTTAAATAATGTATTAAAGGCAACTTGGAACACCTAAGGCAGGCAGAAATTTGCAGTTAAATAGTAGCAAATACAGCATTTGGCTTCTCCCTTATGTTTTGGAACGTTCTGGGGACAAGTAGTGTTACTGACTATACAGGACACTGAGAAACTCAGCTCATCAATTTTTACCACATGCAAGGAATTCAGTATTTCAGCTCTAATCCCCATTCTCAGGCTCTCGGGAGCAATCATTTGGCAGTCGGTCTGGAAAAAAAAAATGTAGAAAACAAGTAAGAAAAAAACCATGCAAGTTTTTTTCTTAGTCAGTGCTAGACTTCTGCAAAAGCAGCACAATGCAAACTGCACAAAAGCAGGGCATCACTGCAGTAGCAGCGAGCTATTAGAGCAGGGTTCAGCAGTAAGGATTTTAAAATGTGCATTTTAATTAGAACTCGTTTAAAGCACAACCGATCAAAACAGTGATAATGAGAGAAGCCTAATTAATTTTTGTCTAAGAAACGAAGTCTCATTACAGAGGGGTCTTCGGAAGAAAAGGGTTTGGGATGTTAAAAACAGGGTGTTTTTGTAATGAGACGCAATACTGCTGGGAGCCTGGAAGCCAGACCTAGAGGTTTCACAGGACTGCAGCAGCCACTGTATTAATCTTTTAGCAGAAAAAAGTAACCCTACTGAGATGAGACATCCCATTTATAACTGAGCTCTGAGTTGCAACCATTGGCAGAGATATTAAAACACAATCAAACAGAATGGCATATTATAAACCAAATATAAATACAATTAAAACCAGATTAAGTAAAAGATCAAAGCAGGCTCAAAAAATGCAGTTTCCAGGGAGTTCAGGGTTCAGACAGTAGAGGAGGAGCAGAAGCTTGGAGATTTGGAGCACTTCTGAGGACTAAGGATCTAACAATTTTCTAAATACTAAAGAATTAAAATGCTGTAGATTGAGGAGTACGAGCTCAGGGTGGTTATACGAAAGAGAATGGTTTCTTTTGAACCAAAAATAAGTACTGTAACATCTAAAGAGCTAAGGTGTTTGAAAAGAACAGCAGCAAGGAGAACCCCCCCTCCCCGGTTCCTGAGTGTATTATAAAGGCTGCTCCATAGCAGGGTATCAGGAAGTGGGCTGGGACACGGCTCCCACAGCAGACCTCTTCCCGGAAAAGAACTGCAAGAAAGCTCCAGGTTTGAAGTACTCCCACTCAGCATCACCTCTCAGCAACAGAGAGCAAACTCCAGCAAGTACAGGTATAAAATATAAAACAAGGTAATTATTTCATTAATAATCATGCTAAATAAAGCATCACTTTACACTTATGAACAGAAATTATCTGCTCTTCCCCAGTTTTGTTAGGCTTTATTATGGCAAAGTGACAGGTAGCAGCCAGGGATAATTTGATCTACCTGTATTACTTACCAAAGGCAAGTCTTCAGGTGTTTCACAGGACCCTTTCATCTAGTTTCTTACTAATCATATCATCCCTCTCTTCCTCCCATTACTGGACCACAGCTGCTCTTGTTTTAAGCACTGGCCAAACCATGCCCCAGGTTTCTTAAACCAGGCTGTAAATCCCCCTCCCACAAAACATATTTTGCATCTTCATTTCTTAATGAATTTTTGCAACTCGAATGATTTGGGGCCACCACTTATCCCCTAGCTGGTCAGTCAGCTCTGCTGTGCCAGAGGCAGCCACCAACAGCCAGGGCTTTAAATGACATTGAGGTGGAGTTGTTATCTTAAAGGAACTGAAATCACGAGTGGCTTAGATTAAGTGCCTAGACTGAACCACAGCAGGTGACAGGCTGTCTCCTGCTATGGCCCATCCTGTGGCAGAGATGTAGGGCAGAAATGCCTGAAATCATCCCAGCATTAATCACCAAAGGCTGAGGGGCAGAACATTGATACAAAACCTTCATCAGGCATCTGTTTCCCAGGGCTCTCACATGTGCTTCAAGGATTGAGTCCACCCTCTGATTCCTTTATTACCAGCTACCTGGTTGCCAGCAGCAAACCAGCAAGGGAAAAAAGACAAGCACTAATTTTACAGAAGGTCATTCTAGTGTTTCAACCTTTTTGTTTTTTCACTTCAAGGAGAAAACAAATTCAACAGGAGACAAATGCATTTAATAATTTTTAATAATTTTGTGCCATGGTTTAACCACAGCATATTAAGAACAAGCATAAAATCTGTATTTAAAACTAACAACAGCACTTAGAGCAACATCTTCCTTTAAAAGTATTGCAATGAACAGACCTTAGGTCTAAAAACTAGGACATCACCATTTGCTCAATTAAAAGAGTCAGATACACAACAGTTGAAATCTTTTCCTGTATATAACTGGGAGTTACAGTGGAAAATAAGCAACAAATTAATTGTGTTAAACAGAAAATAAATTTTTTAAAAAATAAAACCAAAGCAAGCCAGGTTTGTCATAGCATCACATGAACAGCTATTGAGAAATTCCAACACAGTTGTAAAAAGACTTACTGTTTTTAACAGCTTTGTTTTTACAATAAAATTTAAAAGAAAGATTAAATATTTTTGATAGTGCTGTACATATTTCAGAATAGCTTGAAAGAAAATGGACAAAAATAAGAGATGTGTTGAAAGTGTGATCTTGAAAGCCACAAGGTTGGAGATAGGAAAAAAAAAATCCATACAGCAATAAAGCATTTTACACTGTAAAATAACTAGCAAGAAACAACAAAGAAAGGGTAACACTCTAAAAACAGGCATCTGATGGTTAATTTTGAGTGTAACAGCCTGACTGATGTACATACCCTCGTGAAATGCTCTGAGCACAACAGCATTGGGCAGTTGATAGTTATACAAAGATAAACCCCCTATCAATGCTTATGTAGTCTTTACACTATTAAGTAGAAAAGCTTAGTTAAAGAATAGTAAAGAGACTTTTTAAAATTATTATTATTATTATTATTTTTGCTGTCCATGTCTATGATGCCTGAGGCTCTCTTAACTTCTGCTTATAGTTCTTTTAAAATCTTGGCTGCCTGCTATGCTTTGTGGTAAATGGAAAAGCGTGAACACAGCTGTGAATAGACGTAATAGATAGTCTGCTCTTTCCACTGCAGCTTCAAAGCAAATTAGTGCCTCTAAAAGGAGACATGCTCATGTTTGGTCCACTCAATATGCAAGTTTTGTTGTGATAAATTCCACACTAGATTCCTCCAGCAGGAGGTTTGCTCTCTACAGTCTTCCTAGTCAAGGCCGGGGGTTTTTTGTTTATTTCCTTCATGCACAGAAGTGGTACTGCAGTGCAAACAGAAACGTGAAGGTGGCCAGGCAAGGCATACTTCCAAAACATTTACTCCATGTCCTGACAAACAATAAATGAATTAACAAGTGACGATAATGAAATATGCATATTTACCTATGGTACATGCTTACCGACAGAACAGCTCAACACACAGAGGGCTGGACACAAGCTACCTGTAAGAGCTTGATGATGCAGAACTGGCCATAAAAAACTTAGACACTTTTAAAAAGAAAACCAAACAAACCAAAACAACCATGCTCAACATTCAGATACAGGACTCCTGTGAGGGCTTTTAAAAAGATATTTACAGACAAAGGTGTAGCTGATGTTTCAGGCTGACAGGGAAGCAGTGAAGGACTGTGCTCCAAGGCACCATCCTCCAGGGTGATGGACTGGACTGAAAGCCCACTCAAACCAGAGGAAGCCTCACTACTGACTTCACTGGGCCCAGAGAGGGCCCCCTGAGTTTTAGCACAGCATTTAGCTAGTCATCTGAAAAACCAAACAAAAACAGTATCTCAAATGTAACCCAACATGCTGCTACCTTATGTCTGTGGTTAAAGCCTGACAAGTATAAAAAAGCTACATACAGACATGAGTATCTATGAAAGATTGGTCAGTATCCATCTGTGAGAAGACTAGTCTGTCTCGGACCAATAAACTTTTATATCAACTACTGTCCTGGGATAGCTAGAACAAACAGTTTAGAAAAATAAGTACAGCATCTGCAAGTCTCTACACTAGAACTTCATGTTGAGTTTTCCTGAGGTATTTGCTTTACTGAAGAGCGTGAGGGGACACGGGGATGGACAGCCAAATGCAGGGAGATGCCGCGGGAGAACCAAATTGCCAAGGGAGCCTGGCAGAAAGCTAAAGTGTAAAATTGCTTTCCTCTCCACCTCCTGGGTTGGGTTTGAACAGGTCTAAGCATTTCTCTGTAATCTTAAATATGAACCTGGGATTAGCCATTGCTGTCAGAGGCCAACAGAGCAGCAGAGCTGCCGACTCAAAGCTCACACTCAAACCCCTGCATTCAGCTCGCTACCGACCGTGGCTGTTCTTGTCCACCCTTAAGGCTCACACCCTGCAACAGTACAATTCACAGCTACACACCAAGCCTGAAGACAGTCTGTAGTGGCAGGATCACACACCAGTCATGGGCACAGAGCAAGGGCTGGCTGCTGTCACAGAACTCTCATTGGCCTACTTTTGATTTTGCAGGGATGGTTTGGGTCAGTTCCCACTTGTATGAGCTTCACTTCAAATCTAGGATGTGGATAAAAAGATTTGAAAGGTTTTAGTCCATTTCTAAGTTAAAAACCAAAATAAAAAAATGTAATCATGGATTGTAATAAATAACATGTCTGCTGGAGAAGTAGTAACTAATACTGATCCAACTCAGCAATAGCAAGGCAACAACCAATACAAGAAGCATCTAGTTGCAAGGTTAAAGCTGTGGAGGTTTTGTTTGTTTTGTGTTTTTTTCCTTTTTCTTAAAGTGACACATTAAAAAAAAAAAAAAGGAACAAATCTTCACAGCAAAGATGCATCAAACAACCAATCACTATACACAGGCTAGTCAAAAAGGATTTGTTCAACCTTTTTCCCTTACGATATTATATTGATATTTAATAGGAAAATAAAATACATAGACTTTTTGTCATTTGTATGCATTCATTTGCAGATTTTCTTACAAAAAAAGGACCAAGCACAGAAGTTGGCATTCACAAAGTTTATGCCATTTTTTGTGTTAAAATTGGTATAATCTATACATTATTTTACAGTATTAACAACATCTATTTTTGTATGTTTGTTTGTTCTACCCATTGGGTAGGATATGTGCATAATATATTCAAGTTATACACAGCACCATACAAAGAAAAAAAAAAAAAAACAAACCAGAAAAAAGACAGACAACTAAAAAAGCACCATTTTAAGTGAGGCACAACAAAGGTGGGAGCATAAGGCCTAATCCAAAGCCCCCTGAAGCTGGCAAGAGTCTTCCTACCAACTTCAGCCAGCTTTGCATCAGGCCCTCTCAAGTGCAAGGGGGATTCCTATCTGCTCAGACCTGAACATGAGGCACCTTAGTTGCTTACAAACTACAGACATGCAAACCTCCTCAAAATTATATCTAATAAGGACGTATATAATTTATTAATAAACCTACCACAGCAGACAGACAAGCACAAACCAAGGAGAGAAGGGAAGAAGAAGAGAGACAGCTTCGTCACCCACGAGATCCTACACACACCATGTTGTTTCAGAAAGCTCACACACCAAACCACTTAAAACAGCAGCAGCAGTAGCAGCAGCAGCAATAAAGCAAAGAAGTGACAGCGTCACCTCTGGCAGTCAGAGCACACAGCTGTCAGAGGAAAGGGGAAGTATATCTAGGTTACAGTTTTGCTTTTTTATTGTTAACCAACATAAAAAGGCAAGCTCTTTTATAGCAGGAAAGCAATGCTAGCAATATCCAGGTTGCTTGTGTTCAGTCTAAAAATGGGAGGGACACCAGCAAGGCAGAAGGAAGAGCCAGGAGAGTTTGCAACACTTCTCAATATAAAATCATCCTTAGTTTTCCTTTTCAAGCAGGCCCGAAATAAATTTGATGCCAGTGGTTGTGATTTCAAGAACAACCAGAAGGCTCCTCCACTGTGTGTCTGTGGTACTTACTAGCGTGGCAAAGCCCTTCATCGAAACACCTACAGCTACAGCTCGTTGGGAAGAGGCAATGCAGGTCTGATGTTAGTTTTGGAGGATGAACTTAGTGGTTCAGCTTCTGTTAATTCCCCAGAGCTGAACCAAGAACATTACTCTTTTCTCGCTGGTGCAAGAGTGCCCAATGGGGCTTTTCCCAGCACAACAATGGCAATCAGAGGCGAGTCAAAAGGTAATTTACACCCCTGATTACTGACCACAGGCTGGCAAACAATATATTAAGTATATATTAAAAAAAAAAAATATCTTACCAACCAATACTTTCAGTGGGCACAGTCTCAAAACTTGAATTTCCTAACAAAACATGTGGAACAATCTTCAGACAGGAAAACTCTCTAAGTTCAACACATCCTCACAAGTGACTTCTCCATGCTCTGAAAGGCCTCAACAGGTCTCGGAGAACTCAGTAAGAGTCTCTCTTTGCAGGGACTGAAATGATTGATACATTTGGGGCTAGTTTAGGAGAAAAGTTGTAATTGCACTGGTTGGCAAGCAGGCAACACAGTGCAGGAAAAGACCAGACATGTGTAATTAAATTATGTGCAACAGCCTTTATCTAAAAAGCAAACATGTAATCAAAAGCCAGCCTTCATCTGAACCCACTGTACAGAAGGATTACTCAGTTCTCAGCATCAGCTAGGCTTGAAAAAACATGCTTCTGAGATTCAGACTACACTAAGTGCATTTCCTTCCTGTATATCAATACATGAGGTCTACATTAGGGTCATCACAAAGCACGAGGACCTTTTGAAGCTCACCCAAAAGCAAAGAGCTGTTAGATGGAAGTTGCACTGGTGCACCAGGTGACAGGCAAGAACTGGTGCAAGCAAGAAACTCCCCCACTGATGAAGACATAGGTCACGACATTTACAGGACTGAAAAGCAGATATTCTTCATGCTTCCAGTGGTTAGATAAATGACCTGTGGTCATTCCTGAGAGCACACTATATAGCCATTAAGCACTTCTGGAAGGTGATTATGGAATAGCAACTAGTACAGAGACCATCAAGGGGACAAGTTTGCATGCATATATGTATGTAAGCACACACATGTGCATGGACATGATTTAATGGTAAAAAACAGAGAGAACTTGTGAATAATCCCAAATACTTTAAATACTTTCAAATGTACCAGCAAGCCTATTGTTTATCCTTGGGGAAAGTGAGAGGAGGAGAAAAAAAAAAAAAAGCAAAGAAAAATTTTGGAGCGTATCTATTTTTAACAGCATACTTTTTTCTTTGCCTACAAAATCGGGTTACCTTAGTAACATGAACATTCAGGACTCAAGAGTCAGAAAAAGGTTAGCAATCAATCTTCTCCAAACCATTCAAACATTTCTTACAGATCAGAGGGTCAGTTTTAAGGTCCAATACTCAATACCTGGCAGGGTTAGAAACAACTGCCTCAGACAGCGCCGTTTCAGACACCCACACATGGGACTCTCCAGCAGGACAAGGCTTTCTTCCCTATTGCAAAGAAAGTGCAATCTCTGATAAACAATGTAATTTCGCTCCTTACCCTTCCCTGCACCACATTCACATAAGAAAAAACAAAATCTCAGTGACAGTTTTTAAAAAACGTCAAGTCTGCAACATGAACATTCGGAAATTTGGCATGAGAGAAGCAGCTTCTAGCTGGGAAAAACTGGTGGGAGAAGTGGGCAAGCAATAATAGAGAGCCAAATGAAACACAGCTTGACCCCATGGTTCCCGCAGATTCCACGACTGCAGGAATGCAAGTATCTTCCTCAGTAGCCATCAAGAACTTGTACATGGGGCATGTGTTTGACTTTGCATACTTAAAAGGAAAAATCATACTGTAATAAACTCCCATCAGACTGAGACTGGGTTAAGTGCAGAGTTCATCAGTGACAAGACCAGGAGTAACTTAAGTAGATCCTCCCTGACAAAAACAACCTACTGTGCAAAGTACCACGAATTCTGCACATGCCACGCACTACAGGAAAGGGATCTGAACACTGCACTGTTGCCTGGGTACCACTTTCCACAGCCCTCACTCATACCTTTTAAGCAGCATCACATACACATAGTCTGCTTGTACAGCACTGAGACAAACCCAACCACAACTGTGCTAAATGTATATACAGAATTAGAGCTAAATGCTGAGTGCTCCATTGGTAAACCAGGAGAAAACCCTTTTTTGTTCTGTTGCTAAACCTCCTGCCTTTTCTAGCCCTGAAAGATCGTACGAAAACACCAAAGATGGGGCATATTTAGCACCAAGGAGGGAGCCATGCCAAGCCACGTTAAGAGAAAAATTAACCTTTACAGTAGGATAGAGGTCACAATGCTTTATTTCATAAAAGTACATTTTAAAGAAAAAAGAATCTTTTAACCTGAAAATTCCTAAAGTAGGGACATCATTGTACTGAATTTTGGGAACACAGGTTACTGGGCAAAAGTCAGAAGGTGCAACTGGAATTCAGGCAAATATGACCTATCACACAGAAAACTCCACACATATAATGTAGGTTTTGTGCATGAGACACATGAACCAAAACACCTGTATGGAGGTAAAATCTACACAATTAATACTACAGTGTTTGCAGAAATCTTTATAATTTATACAAAGTTTCATTTGAGTGGCTCTGGAATACCATCTATTAATTCTGCACATTTTCAAAGGGCATCTTCCATAAATGCTTCATAGAATTACCCATCTTCAGAGCTCTCCAATTTCTAAGCCTGTAAAGATCGATGGTGCTATCTAATTCTGGTATTCCTTTAACTGTTCTGTTCTGTTAGCAAGGGCAGATTCTCTCCCACTGCAACAGAAGAAATTATAGAAAAACAGACTGATTCAACGTTACATTATTGACAGCCCTCCTACTGGAGAGCACTAATATTCATCAGAAAATAGCATATTTACTCCTATAATACAAGAGGCCCCAGAACAGAAGTAGCAGGTTGCAAGCTCACTTACAGCAAGTCAACAAGTGACTACACTTCCAGAGCTGAGAGGTATACTGTCTGTACATTACATCTGGAAAAGCAGAATATGACATTAAGCTATTAGAGAGTATTCAAAGGAGGGCCACAAAGATGGTGAAGGGTCTTGAGGGGAAGCCGTATGAGGAGTGGCTGCTCAGCCTGGAGGAGACTGAGGGGAGACCTCATTGCAGTCTTCAGCATCCTCATGAGGGGATGCAGAGGGGCAGGCACTCTTCACACTCATGACCAATGACAGGACCTGATGAAATGGCATGAAACTTAGTCAGGCGAGGCTTAGATTGGATATCAAGGAAAGGTTTTTCACCAGAGGGTGGTTGGGCACTGGAAAGGGCTCCCAGGGGCAGTGGTCACAGCAACAAGCCTCACAGAGTTCAAGAAGCGTTTGGACAACGCTCTCAGGCACATGGTGGGATTCTCGAGGTGCCCTATGCAGGGCCAGGAGTTGGATTCAATGATCCTGATGGATGTTCCTTCCAAACCAGCATATTCTATGACGAGAATGAGATGATGCAAGAGGAAATGCAACTATCAGGTGAGTATATACTAAGTTATATTTAAACTAATCTTTTCTACGGAACTGCAACAGGTTACATTTTTCATGCAAAGAAAAATTTTCTCAGCCAAGAAAAATTAAGAGACAGCATACTGGACAATGTTAATGGGAAGTGCATAAAACCACCGGCATGCAGAGATGGCAAAGGAGGGCAAAGAGCTATCTTCAAAGAAAGTACATTTCCAAGAGGTGACTTTGAAGGCAACTTCAAGGCTCACTTTGCTGAGATTTGCACGTGGGAAAAGTTGGTACTCAACCAGCCCAAACCCAGGGCCCAGTCCAGGTGTGCTCTGCCATGACAACTGAGTTCCAGCTGTTTTCACCTGAAGGCTTCTCGGCTAAATAATCCTCATTTAGGCAACAGCACAGTATCTGTGTAGGCACACACATTCTCTGGCTTAAAGGCTCACTTCCAAAGTGACAAAAGTCACTGAAGACCAAAACCAACATTTGCTGCTTTTGTCTTCTGTTCAGGTTTTTTGTTTGGTTGGTTGGTTGGTTTCTTTTGTTTGTTTTTAACTAAGAATTATGTTCATAGGTTGTTTTCAAAAATCTAATTTCACAGCTTTTATTCCCAGGAACCAGACACGATGAGAGCCCTGGCTGACTGACCGTCACCTGTCCTATGGGTCTGAGCGGAAAAAAATATGTGAATCCCATCACATGATCTCTATCTCTCCCTTCAAATAATACACACATTAAAAGGCAGCTTTACTCTGCATTACCAGCATGACTCAGACCAAAGTAACAATTACAGAGACAAATGGAGCTGCATATTCAGTTACACAAACATTTTCTAAACTAGAATAAAACCAAATTAACTTATGAAGAAAACAAATCTACACTGAGGCCCATAAAACACACACACACACACACACACACACAGAAACACACACTGTTTTGGCATTAAAACTCTGCATAGATCAAAGATGCACTTCAGTTATCAGAGCCCCTGGTGTAGAGAAGTCCCACAGAAATTCAGCCTCCAGCCATGGGACCAGGGCACAGTACTCCTCCACTCCTTCCACGGTGCCCTCGGGGCACTCAGCAGCTGCTGCCCGAAACCAAGCACAAGGCTTAGGAAATTAGAAAAAAGTGAAAGATCTCAAAGTGGAAAGGTCTATGACACACATACACCTATGTATTAGGAACTACTCAAGCTAAGACTCTAAAGATTCTTACTTTAAATCCATTTCCGAAATGCATTTTAAGTGCAATTTGTGCTTTTTCATGTGCTTGTCATGCCACTATCACCATTTGTCAACCGCCTTCCGGCACCGCGTGTGCTTCCACATGGAAACAGCCAGTGGAGGAATACCCCAGATGCCACGATACAGGCAAGGTAACATTTTCCAACTACTCTTCAGACCAGTTATAGCAAAATCAGGGCTTACAGACACTTGGTTAACATGTGAGTCATCTTTACCCACGAGCGCAGTCCTGCTGGCGTCAGACAGATGACACGCACGGAGAAGGGTTTCTGCAACAGGGCCCAGAGCAAACGAGTCTGCAGTGAGAGTAACTGGCGCTCCCACGTCACTGCCAGGGATGCCACAGAAGTCGGCAACACTGTCATGGAGGCTCTCGGTGCTGCTGCAGAAACAGCACAGGGAGATTTAGATACAAAGTCCCCCTTCACTTCAACAGGATGGATCTCCAGAACTGAACGTCAGCATCTAAAAGGATGAAATGGAGAGCGAAAAGCACAACAGTCTCACGTATTTAAACAGCGTTGCAGGGGAAAAAATCCACCCTGCATTTTCGAACAATTTATTGCATAATGTCATGATATGTAACTAAATACATTTCAGGCTACAGTGAGGACAAAAATCTCTAAAACGGTTAAGTACTGGCGATACTGCATTATGAAAAGGAATAGAATGGCAGCACGTAGTTAGAATCAATACAAATTAACACATCTGGGATTTTTTTTGTTTTGCCATTTACAAAACAAATAGTCTACACCGCAAAATAGCTAAACCTTAAGTGATGGAAAATGCTGGGATTTCATATTTGTCTTCTTCCATCCAAAAGTTTCCAAGACACTTCACTGATGCACTGTTATTTGAACGCAAATTATTGCAAAGACAACTGTCCCTGTATTTCTTGATTTGTAAAAGTCAAGAGATGTTAGGCTAAGTCCTGTCCCCATTTTCTAACAAACCCGGGGATAGGAGGGGGGAAACTCCTCCAGATTACTTCTGGAGCTCTATCATTATTCCACAGGTGAAAAGACAACATATAGAAGAACTTCACATAAAACAGTTCCCTCATAATATATTTTTTTAAAACATTAAGATAGTGCAACCTTTTAAAACACATTTATCACAACACAAATTAATTCCTTGCATTCATCTAAGTTCTCAACTTTATACCTTGGCACACAGAACAGGAATTTTGTTTCATATTAAAAAAAATCCACACCATGGGAGAAAAAAAAAAAAAGCAAACTGGCCAATTCTTCCCCCATTTATCTAGCAAAACCACCTTCTTCCTTCAGCCATTCAGTGAGTATAAAACAGGCTGTACAAGCCTCATTTCTGTGCTAAGTTAACTTTTAGAATTAAATAATTGAAATAGTTTATTAAAAAAAAATAATATATCCCCCCCCTCTCCCCCAAAACACTGCTCATAGACAAACTGAATGGAAGTTTGTATTTCTTTCAATCTGCTTTGCATGCAATTCCCCTGAAAGGAATCAGAAACAAAGAACTGGTTTGCACGTTTGGTTTTACTAAGTTGTACCACGTGAAACGCAACAACATTGTGCACCGGAGCATGGGGGGTCTTCCTCCACCACCCTGCTTGGATCTCCTGTCTTCAGCTCAAATGCGCCTGGGCGAGTAACTTTAGACCAGGTTTCCTGGTTTCCGGTCTTGGCCTTTGCTGGGGACTATTGTGCTCTCTGAATTGTTCTGCTGAAACTGAAGTCTGCTCCCCCTCTGCGAGGAAGGAGGCACGTTGCTGTGCTGGTGATGGAAAAAAGAGGAGCCTGGGTAATGCCCCATGACCTCGCTGTACGTCGGGGGTGGTCCCTCCATCCTTCCATTACTGCTATAGTTGGTTGCACTTATGCCCGAATTGCTGCTCGGTGGGCAGGGGCCCCCATTGTACATCGAGATGTCTATCAAATCGCTATCAAAAATGGTTCGGTTGGGTGGTGCCCTGACGGATTCCCGGTTGAGCTCCATCTGCTGTTCTGGGTCCCGGAGCTGCAGGGTGCATGGGCCTTGGTACGGTGGTGGCTCTTCCCCGTCGGAGAGGGAGATGGTTGGAGGGAGGTCAATCTCATGCTGCATGTACGGGTAAGTGGGCTGGAAGCGACTGAAACGGTCCCGCTGAATAAAAGATGGGGTGGTAAACCTGTCCCTGGACCTTGGAGCATACATGATCTGAAACGGGAAGAGAGACACACGTGACTCCGCATCTGAGCAAAGCACTGTGGTTGCTCCACATTTACGAAGAACCGATAAAATGCAGAATGCTTCTCTTTGCCACTCATCTTGGAGATTAAACCCAGCAGATACTGTGCACACGTGCTCCCACATGCATGCAAGAGAACAGGTAGGAGGTGCAGGAAGGAGCTAACACACTTGAGAACAGCTTCACGAAGGAAGACCAAGACCCAATACACCTTCTGACATTAAAACATCCAGAGCGAAAGCAAGTTATTCGGTTTCTGAACAAAGGAAACAAATTCTCTCTAGTCTTGACAATTGACTAGTTCTACAACCGTGTCCCAATACTGAATTTCAGCTGCAGTATGAGCCTCCATCTCCTACTCAATGTAATACCCTACACATCACCAAAGAATTCACATGGTCATTTTAGTACATTTTGTAAAGGCCCAGCATATCTCACGCCTTCACTGCCACAGTATATCAGGTGTCCTTCTCCCCCTCAGTTCTCAGCCAGAACTCAGCCCCTGGGGAGGACCTACAAAGCCTCTGCACTGTGAATGCAAAAAATGCCCTATGTATATTAAACCCTGAGAAGATCAGGCTTTACAAAAGGAAGACTTCTGTGAGGTGCTACCGCTCCTCACTTGCTCTAATCCCAGATCCACACAGACATATCAGCTTCTCAGAGCCAGATCTACCAAACTGCTCTTCTCTTTTTTGGATCCAAGCTGGTTCTCAGCCCATGACCCTCACAGATGTAGGGTCAACCATCAGGAAGTTCTGCTGTTTGTCACAGGACACTGGATCACTCAGAGCAAAATACACCCACAAATTATTACACAGACCAGGGATCTATAGTAGCTGGAAGATGGGAGACACTGGTGATTGAATATGTGTTGTAAATCTACGAAAAATTCTGGGACAAGAGCAACTAGTCTCCCAGCTTCTAATGGATCTCAAATTGCTGAGCCACTGCATAAAAGAGAGACACCTCCACCACTTACTTGGGAATACCTACTATGACACAGGTAGCTGTTGATGGAGATGAGGTGTCAGGTAGGCAGAATTTCACTACTTTAATGAAAAGGTCTCAGGTATTTATGAAATGTGAGTTAAGAAAAGCTCACACGACTAGATGAACTGCACTGAAAAAGCTTTCTTTAAAAAACAGATGCGTATTTTTGAAAGGAACCAAATACACATTACAGGAAAAAGGGAAAGCGCATTGGTGAAGATAGTCAGAAATCTGTCAGTACCTCTGAAGCACCCTGGCGCGAAACCGAGCTTTCTGAAGGCCACAAGCACCCTTCCTGAAATGTGGAAGAAAACAACAAAAGAGGAAAATTAATACATCACATCACCATCCTGCCCCAATACGGATGCAGCAAGCTGGTCACAGCTAGGAGAACATGGTAACAAGCGGAGATGACAGGAGATACTTCAGCACTTACTTGCTGAGCAGGTACCTGTCACCTCCAACTCGTGATGAGGTCACGTCAGCAAGGCTGGCAGGTCTGACAAAGCTGACCTGCCAGCCAGGATCCCAGTCACACACCAGGGGCAAAACAGTTCACAACAAAACCTGGCGTCTCTAATCTCAGGGGAAGTGACAGTCATGCTAAACCCAGGTATCATCTGGTAACACTGTCAGTTGCTCAATTCCCATCACAAAGGATAGTTAAGCAGCTGAGGTTTCAGCCACCAGTTCCCCTCTTCAACCACTTCTCTACCTTCTCAGGCCAAAGTATTTTCTCTCTCATGCCTCAAAACGGTGTTTTGACATCATACCAGCACTCAGGGTAGAATAAAAGGGTGAAGAACAGTATGTCAATAAGGGAAAACAGCTTAAGGTGTACCACTGTTTTTCTTAATTAATTGTTCAGAGTAGCAGTAACTCCTGCAAAGAATGTATTACTGGAAAATTCTGAAGCTGAAAAGGACACATCAGAGCAACTATAAAGCACAAAACTCCAATCCTGGTGCACAAAGAGAAAATCAAAATAATGTATGGTCATGACTATTTTCTTAATGCTAATTCAAGTTTTACAGATAAAAGAAATTTCAAGAACTGGAAGGAAAATGCATACTGTCCCCAAAAGCATTACCATGTACAGAGTACTGTACTGCTTCTTCTCACCATAGCATCTTTCAACATATTTCAGATATAAAAATAGACCCAACTAGATGTTCATCATGACACTCAGAGACCAAAAGCCGTCTGTGATCTTGTCAGGAGAGTCCACCAAAGAGGAAAGCTGCTCTAAGAGGAATCTCCCACAGGATTCAGCTGTTAAGGGAAATGCTTTGAATAACAAAACTGGTACACTTCTCTTCTGTAGCTTTGGAGAGCAGAGGTAGAGGGAGGCTGACAATAGCAATTATTTGCAACTTCCCCAAGTATCCTCCTTTGCAAAGGGCCTGATACGAAAGACAAGTGTATATATACTTCTACCCACCTTCTCTTCCATTTCTCCATCACCCAGATGCCCTCATTTTGAAATATCTGAGGGTATGTCTGCACAAGCAAAGACAATCAGGTTATCAGTAGTTGACCCAACAGGCTTCAAGCCTGTTGCAACTATTAGTAAGACATATTAGTCAAAGTTGAAGTTCTCAATTAATTGCCACTGAATTCCTGGCCATACACAGACCAAGAGCAGATTCCTCAGGGATGGTTTGAAAATATGACAGTATGTAGCATTATGCTTAGTGCAACGGTCTTAGTCTCACCTTTAATATGTTCAAGCTCAGAAGAGAGGAAAAAATGCAAAATCAATGACCCAACCCAGAATGAAGTAAGATCTACCCCCACCACTCACATTATAGTTAAATTCCCTTATAAAAAGGAGTTCCTGATGTGGAAGTGGAAATGACAACACCCATTCTAGGGCCCATCTCCCCAAAGACAGGAGAGTAAGAAGAGCCAAGGGAGAGGGTACAGCATATGGAGAAAAACTCCTTGCATGCTGATTGGAATGGGATCCGCTCGCTGAGCCAAGGCACTCAGATCTGGTATCAGACATGCCTAACAGAAACAACCTGCTGGAAGTGAGGAGTTGCCTGTTATTTCTACTGCTGATGCCTGAATCCCAGTACAGGAGGCATTGCAGCTGCTATAAGGACCTCACAGAGTGTGTCCAGGGCACTGGGATAGTCACAGGAAAAGTATCAGACCAAAGGAGCCTGAGACTATCCCCACTCTGGGATAACTACTTGAGAAGGCAGCTTGGGATGCAGTTGAACTCCAAGGCTGTGAGATCCCTCAACATGGTTTCTGTGACAGTATGTCACACAGACTACCTGTATCTGCCCCCTTCCTTAAGGTTTCCTCTGCATAGAGCAGCAGGCTGAATAAATCCTTTGGCAGTAGCCAACCCCCAGTAAGATCTCTATGCCAGGAGCCAGAACTCCCCAGGCAGATGGCTGGGTAACATGTGCTTAGCATGCCCACACTTCAAAAATACCAGGCTCACACAGCACATGCAGACCAACCTCACCATGCATACATGGTTGGTCCAGTGCCACAGTACAGGATCTTCTCATCACCAAGTCCAGACTAACTGACCCAACATAGGAATTTCTGTCCTCCTGAAATTGCTGCATCCTCCACATGAGACTTACTACCTACCTTAAAGTATCTCAGGGAAATTCATCCTCCTCTGCACTGGGTAGGTACAATCTAACCCAAAGTTATGTGCCCATCTACTCCACTGTTCTTGGGGCGATGTCGAGGGGTTGAGAAGAGAAGAAAGTGTTGCAGAAGGAAAATATATGGGTGACCTTTTTTCTCCCAAGATGTAGATTTAAGAAATAATGTGATGCAACTACCATGAACAATCTGGGGTGACCTACACTGACTGAAAGTGTTATTTCTTGCTCTCTCCTTGTCTCTTTACTTACAAACCTTCATTTGGCAGCTAAAATACTTCCCTGCATTCAGATCAGCGAAAGTCAGATGAGAACTGACAGCATTTGTATTTATATTTCCTCGTATTGTTTCTCTCTTTGTGTCTCAAAATACCAAGGTAGAATGGTCTAACGACTAAAAAAACTTTTCAACTTCTTTCCACTGTTTTCTCATCCTACTCACCCTGTGAGCAAGACAAAAGCAGGCACAAGCAATAAGGATTGGCACCACAGCTAACCAGCCACCAGGCCTGGCACACACTTTCAGCCCCAGTACCACAGCACCCAGCATTGTGCTGATAAGGCACTTCCCAGCTCCCACATTCAGTTGCTGGCAGTTCTCCTCACACCAAATGCCCAGAGATTTGTACAAGTAGCTCTCAGGTATGCACAAATAAAGACTAAACCTGAGCAAAAGCAATTTATCCATTTTTTGATGTGGGCAGTACCTCATTTACCTGTTTCTTATAGTTACTCAGTAGCTAGCCACCTCAACTTGTTCCTTCTTAAAGAGACTAAAAGTCTTCAGGCATGAGCTTCAATATTTAGAAGTAACAGGGAGAGAAAGCTTATACATTTATTATCTATATCATATTAATCTTTAACACTGTTAGGCTTTGGAATGAAAATCCTAGCACCTACGAATAACACCGAGCAAGAACAATCTTAGGGATCCACCTATGCCTTCTGCTGATCTTTGCCATTTTGGGGTTTCATAACAATTTACAGAAATTAATCTTGTGATTAGGTTTTTAAGTAACAGCATCATTTAATAAATCCAGCTGAGTGATTAGTTAATTATGGTGAATTATCTTATGGTGATGATTATTTAGCTCAGTATATAGAGCTTAGGAGACTGCATAAGCCTGAAGATAATTTGCTATGTTGTATTTTACAGAGGTTTAGAGCCTCTAGAATTAAACAGTGTAGGAAGACGACTTTTTGAGGACATTTTTAAACACTGGAGCACACACCTAACCGCCTCAGCTGAGCAGGAAAGACACTTAACAGAAGAACAATTTTTAACTCATGAGAAGTTATAGCTAAAAATTTACACTTAGTAAGAAAATTTTCTCAAACTATAATAAAGTAAAAGGATCCCTTATTTCAGCAGGGATAACTTTCTTCATAGTCATAAGTATGAGGCCATGCTTTGGATTTGTGAGGAAAATTATGTTGATAACACAGGGATGTGTTTGCACTTACACAGTGTGAGCCTTTTTCTGCTCACCACCCCACCTTGCCAGCGAGGAGGGTGGGAGTGCACGAGGAGTTGGGACACAGCCAGGACAGCTGACCCCAACTGACCCAAAGGGACATTCCACACCATATGGCATCATGCTGAGCATACAGAAATGGGGGAAGAAGAAGGAAGGGGAGGACTCAGAGTAATAGCATTTGTCTTCCCAAGTCACCATTACACATCATGGAGCCTTGCTGTCCTGGAGGTGGACAAACACTGGCCTGCACACGGGAGGTGGTGAGTGAATTCCTTGTTCTGCTTTGCTTGTGTGCACAGCTTTTGCTTTACCCATTAAACTGTCTTTATCTCAACCCACAAGTTTTCTCACTTTTACCTTCCTGATTCTTTCCCCCATCCTGCTGGGAGCAAGTGGCTATGTGGTGCTTAGTTGCCACCTGAGGTTAAACCATGACAATTCCATATAATGCAAACACTGTTAAGGAGACTTTCAGGCTTTCTGCACTTTAAAGTTCCTGAGAAATAGAACTCTGCCTGAAATTATGTTTCCTGAGAAACAAAAGTCAATTTTCCACTGTTTAAAATGCATTAAAAATAATTAAGAAGGTCCCTCTTTTCTCCCTCAGATTTTTATTTTATTATTTTTTTCATATATTAATGTACACACACAAATATACATGCTTCTTTTGCAAATGAAATGTTTCAGACAGCAGTGTAGTTTCCTATTTTGGCCCTAGGTGGTACAGTACACCACATTAAAGCACTGGCTTGCTGAAAATGCTCCAGGAAGGCACAGGGGCTTGTTCCTTCCCTGTCTCCTCCTGGGTGATACAGACCATCGCAGCTTTGAAGATGGCAACATTTTCCCTGCCAAACACAAGCAAAACAAACTATTGTGCTGTCCCCAGCTGAATGACGACTATTCCAGCAGGACTGCTTGTTCCCTTAAAAGCTGTGTTTCCTCAAGGGCAGGAAAGGTGACAGTGTCTGGCAGAGCAGTGCATGGTACCAAGGAGAAGCACTAGAGAATTATGGAGACTGCCAAATCTCTCACATGTAATCTGCCTCCCTACACTTACTGCAATTATTTCTGTTACTTAATGCTTTAAAACTTTTATTTCCTCAACTTCACAGCACTTCATCACTTCACGTAATCTTCATTTCATTCAGCTGAAGGGAGTTAAGTACTATTATCCCTTCCTC